CCTCATGCTGCCCAGAAGCCATCCCCGAAGTCACATGGGATGACATTGAGTGGGCACTCAGAAACATGAAATATGGCAAATGTGCAAAAATACATGAGCAGAAAGTCCAGAAGTTCAATCAAAAGAGCAAAGAATTACAGCAGAGCAGCGCCGCTATATTGCCATAATGCAAAACATTCAATGGTAACTAATTAAACAGATTAAACACTGAATGCAAAACGAAAGGAAACACGCAGTAAATCAATGGTAACTTTTTTAAACGTAAAGATTACCTGGACTCACTAAGAATGAAAATATACCACAATTTCAATTTTTAATAACGTACAAATGTCAGTATAGCGACAAAATGACTAAACAGTAATCATGTTAGTCGTTATCAGGTTAAATGCCATTGAACACTAAAACCATAAAATATTTCTAGTTACTGAAACTTCATTCGCAATAAATGGACACTCATAGTGAGATCTAAAAGATGCAGAAGCGGCTGCGGCACCAGCAACGAAAAACAAAGAGGTTTCACTAAACCGGAAATGAAAAAGCAAAGCGTCCACGCCCGCGCATCGCAGTCGGTTATTACGTGTTTGACGAGCTGATCCAGATGTCTACAATCGCATGCATGTTCGTTTTGGCCTCCCCCAGGTACATGTTTTCAACCTTGATATGCACTATGTACTTTGCTTCAATGCAGTCCACTGCTTCAGGGCTAAGTGAAAGCACGCCAGCGGCTATCACAACAAATCACCAATAAAACATTACTGTGGCATGGAGCAGAATTATGCCACATTTTCCACCACAACTCTTTTACGACGAAAGACAACCCTACTAGCTCGCGAGTGAAGTGTCAGCATGATTTCGCCATTGTTACCAGAGCATACGCAGCAGAAGTTGTTGAAGGAGATGATGGAATGGAAGGTTTTCCATTTCTAAAATGTTGTGGCACTTTGGAGCATTCGGTTTTCAGGTGACGAAACTTTAATCACTTCATCGTCGATTTCATATCCGTAGATATTACGGATACTATAGTAGAATCGTGAAAGACAAATGGCCAGCGTCAGAAGAAGTGCTAGAAATCACGCCATTTATTGAACGTAAAACGAAAAACTGTCAAACATCATGCAAAACATTTCTTAAGCAGAAACGTATTACCAGACGCATTGCGACTACGTAAGTTATTTGAGGAGCTAGCAACATCCAGGCATAGCTAAGTATCATAATCAGCTGTGTGAAAGACAAAATTACCAATTACTTTCGGTAGCTGATGCTTTCGAGGTCAATGTTTAAATATAGAATGTTAAAATTCTTGAAATAATCGTGGCATTTAATCTCACAAAAATGACAGCATCGCATACTTAGGCACAAAGATTAGTTACTGCATACTACCTGAGACATAGATTACGCCTCCTCGAGATTCAATTGCCCAGCGCAATGCTTGGTTTCCAAAGGCATGAACTGGTAGAAGTCTGATTCGTCCCAGCGTCTATGAAAGGCTACCATGGGCACCAGAAATGTCATAAACACGTTTCTCTCTGAATCTACTCCTGTTGATCAGAAAAAAATCGAATTTCATCAACAAGCAAACGTGGCGAATCCAACTTGTAGTTTTCTTACTCTAAAACAGAATATACAAAATGCTGTGCATGAAACACGACAAAGATCGCGAGACAAAGATCACTGATTTCGACATCAACCGATCGATTTCTAATCTTGTATAATCCGACTGACACTAGAAACGACAGACCACTGCGACTGTTTCACAGTTCACAAGCGCAAGATCCACGCTCAATCATCAATTTCTGAAATTATACCATACGGTCTCAATTAATCAATGCAATATGTATGGCCGAGTTACTCAGGAGTGAAACAGTGACACTGATCAGTACAAAATAGTATGACCGATAAAAAAAAACATGAATACATTCTGAAGGCAGGCCCGAAACATTTCCGCTCAAGCAGAAGTCATTCTGGAAGCAGAATCTCGCCAGAATCATCCGCAACGTCAGACAATCGTACAATTCTAAAAATTACACAGGCACTTAAACTAAGGTTCGTTAAGCTGTTAAACGCTCAACAGTTACACGCACACAGACAATATCCTGATGAAACGGGGTTGCTACAAGAAATGGTAGTTTTCTGCGTAGCAGTATGGGTTTTCAACAAAACTGTTACATAAGCAATGTTTGAACTATTATCCTACAGGTCATCTTAAAGTGACTGGAATAACTGACTGCCGTTTTGGTCATTCACAGGTTTGGTCATCGATATCGAAACAACCATTATACTTAAACCAAAATCCAAAATAACCAACACGGCTGGTCGTTCACCGAATCTAAAAACGTCTTGACAGTTGCATGAATGTAAATAAGAAACTTGCGCACCCGAAACTGAGACCCTTTTCAAGCAACAGAAAAGCTTACAAATTAACCAAAATAGTTAAAAAAACTGGTTGCACACCTGAAACTGAAATTCACAAATAGATTTGCAATGTCAGAATGCGAAACTCGATCGAAGTTTCCCTACCAGGGAGTTAATCATGGTGAGATGAATATGCAGTTTCACGGGTTCTGAGGAGACCTAGATTAAGAATTTGGTTGGGCACGCTTCCCACTGTCAAGAAAATTAAGTCTGAACGTCAGACAAATACAAACTGGTGCCTAATACTAGAACAGACGACTAGTTTTTAAAACTAAGTTCCAAATATGTGGAGACAAATAATCAAATAAATCTTCTGGAACTAAAGTTAGGATAACCGATAAAAAAACCATTCATATACTGTCACAAAACCAGAGGCATTCATATGTCACGACGTGGCGGCAACGCTGAAAGTGTTGCGCAATAAGGCTTACTGGTCAGTCCTAAAGTTTAGAACATATGTACAGCAGAAACGTACGATTACAATATCCGGAGGGGATGGAAGTGGAAACGTATAACGACGTTCCACAGAAAGAATAATAAGGAAGAGCAGATGACTCGATGGTATTGAGTAATGATTGCCGCGCCATGGCATCTAACCCGTACAGCTTATACGACTGATGGAGGGCCATTAAATGCTTGAAATCACTTGTGAAGTCGTTGCCTCTGAAATCTGAAAACAGCAGCCGTTGAATGGAAGGTACGGTCGAGGGCGCTTCTACGAAATACAAGACAATGTAAAATCCGTTCACAAATAAATATCTTCAACTGCAGTAATATTGCTGAAAGCAAAGACATATATGAATCTGAAAATCAATGAACATAATGCACAGAGACGCCGCAACGTTTCCGATGAAAAATGGTCAGCAAAAACCGCAAACGGTAACAATTAGAAAATGAGTGGCAAGGGAAGAAGTTTATTTGTCAACACTAGAAAACAAAATGCAAACATTCATGTTGCAGTCGTGACAGTGGAACAGTCCATTTCGAATGTCTCGGTAGACTGCGCTGTTTCAGCAGCATTTTCAACTGATAAACTTCCGATTTTACCTAAAACGTGGCGCCAATGACAAAAAATAGTTTACTCTCTCACTCACCAATTCGCTTTTTTTCAGCTTCGACCCTTCTGCGATTCCTCATGATTTTCCGCAGTTTCTTTTTCGATAACGATACATTTGCATGAGGATTGGTTCTGTACGAAAGCATGCCCATTATGTCACATCACTTCAAGAACAACACACCTCAACTGCTTAATCTGGTGTCGCAAGATCAGATCACGACTCGCCAAAGCCAAAGCGAACTTTTTGGCATTTTTTCTTTTGTTTAGGGCTCGTCTGCTTTTTTTGAGAAGCTTGCACCTTTCCTTACATGCTAGTATTAAAAATGTATGAAAGTCAAGTACGTGATAATTCGGTTACCATGACTATTTCTCTTCATGTCAAGGATAGGAAGATAGACACCTAAATGCTATAACACACTGAGCTGCTACTAGCAACGAAGCCGCAAAGTGATGAAAACGGAGCGCAGCTGAGATCCTTTAAATAAAAAAGCTATGCGTAATCGCAAATGCATAAATCGCATATCACTACTTTCGTTTCTTAATTTAAAATTCGAAGCAGGCAACGCACCCACTTACGGTCATGCAAAATAGTGCAGAAAAAATAAACATTTTCAATCGTCAAAAGTAACCTTTTCAAGCGCGATTTCTTTGAAACAGCTACACCGACTGTAAACTGAACTCATAAATTAT